TTAAGGCTGGCCAAGCCCCCCGGCAATGGAAGCTCTCAGCCTCTCCATTTTTTCTTCTTTTTTTTTTATTCTGGGCCAGCTTTAGCTCTGAGGCTTGGCTCCAGCTCTGAGGCCTCGGCTGCTGAAAGCAGGTATCTGGTTTGTTTGTGTTCTATAATTGTAACACTGTTTCTGTCCTGCTCACTCCAGCTCTGAGGTCCCGGCTGACTGAAAGCAGAGTTCTGCGTTTGTTCTATAATTGAAACAATGTTTCAGTCCTGCTGGCTGAAGTTCGCTGGCTGAAAGCAGGTTTCTGGGGTTTTGTTTAGCTTCTATATTTGTAACAATGTTTCTAAAACTGCAAGCTCAGAGGCCAGCAGCAGCAGGTGGGGAATGTTGGCTTCCTCCGTCACTGAAGCAAGCAAGTCTCTTGTTCGCTTCAAGCTGCCTGGCTGCCGGCCACCATCTTGGCTGGCAGTTAATTTGCATATCACCCTGAATAGCCAATGGGAAGGGTAGCGGAGGTATGGCTAATTACCATGTTTCTCTATTATTAGATAGGGATGTTATTTTCACAATTTTCCACTGTGTTCATCACTCATTTTGTGTAATATGATGGGGAAAAGATGGGTGGTGAATTTTAATTCTATATTTTTGCTTCATAATTTCTCAGTATGACATAATATTTCTTATGAAATTATTTATGAACTTCATACTTTTGCTCAATTTCATTCTCTTCACTATTGATTGGCTTTAGATTTGATACTGTGCTGCTGCAGATACAGATTTTCAGTGAATACTTTAAGTTAGATCTTTCTTAAAATGTGGCTTACAGGTTATGCACAATAATTTTCCCTAGGCGGTTGCTGATCAAGCAGGACATCACACAAATGGAACAAGACTTATAAAGGACATAAACGTTTTGGCATAGAAGCTGTGAGGTGGTGTTCTCATCTAATTTCTGCCATCTTCAAGCTGAGTGTCTTTGCACAATTCTTCTTCATTATCAAATTAGAGCATCTGACTATACAACCTGAGACACATATTCAAACATATAAAATAATGACTAAAAAGAGGCTACTTAACCTGGGGTGTATATGATCACTAATTTCTATTAGAATCCTCAAGAAAGGAGGATTGTCACCTGAATGGAGGATTTTCTTTCCTTAGATACAAAACATGTTTTCTGTGTATAAAAATGGTTGACTTGGTCATTTGCCAATACTCTTCCAACAAATCTTCTAAAATTAATACTTAGACTCTGTCCCTTTCAAGAAAAACCATTTAAAGGCAACATTAAAATAAATGTGTGATATCGGTAATGTGTAATGTATACTTCACATTCTAAAAGGAGTCATACTGGGAATAATTCCTACCAAGAAAACAAAGGATGAATGGATTGACATTAATTGGATTTGTCTCAGGAAGATAAGGTAAACTGATATTGGTGGGATTCTTCAACAATATGAGTAAATGAAAAAGTATAAGAATCTAGATCAGCGGTTCTCAACCTGTGGGATGCAAACCCCTTGGGGGTCGAACGACCCTTTCACAGGGGTCACCTAAGACCATCTGAAAACACATATATAATTACATATTATTACATATTGTTTTTGTGATTAATCACTATGCTTTAATTATGTTCAATTTGTAACAATGAAATTGGTCACCATAACATGAGGAACTGTATTAAAGGGTTGCGGCATTAGGAAGGTTAAGAACCACTGATCTAGATGATGGAAATATATTCCTGACAGGAAATTAGAAAACTATTGAGAGGTGATTTGGTGCTAACATGATGGGGTTAATGTATCATCTGCCATTTAACTGGAGGGAAACAGTGAACATAAAATTTATCAGTACTTGGAGCTGTGGTTACATTTTTTTATTAATTTAATCTTTGTGAATTTATTTTTCATTCTTATTTGATTTTATAAAATTTATTTTATTGAATGTACTATTTCCTATCAAACATATATGCTAATAACATCCTCCCAACTTTATTTTCTCCAGGAAGACCCACTACGTTATGTGAAACTATGGGGAAAGCAGAAATTTGGCTAATGAGGACATATTGGGATTTTGAATTTCCTCGTCCATACTTACCTAATTTTGAGTTTGTAGGAGGATTGCATTGTAAACCTGCCAAACCGTTACCTAAGGTACGTCTATTATAGTGGAGGATTTTGTGTAACATATGATAAAAATTCTGATTTCCCTCTAAACTTTACAGTCTAAATAACAGAGATGTGCTGCTTGGTATCTTCAGTTTGCTACTCAAAATCAATTTTCCAAGTCATAGGGGTCTCTTATGAGTGATATTACATTTTTGTTTTGACTTTACTTTGATATTTAAGCTGAAGAATGAAGTGATTTAAGGAGTGTGTTATAAATATCAGTGGGTCTATAGTGTGGGTATGAGATTGAAGAAACAGGAAACTAAAGAATTGAAAGCCACTAAGGATACTGCTGTAGTCTTCTTAACAAGCGTGATGGAATTATGAATAGGGTCACATACTATGGTTGTTTGCATGATAATAACGCTTTTGTGAGAACTATTGGGTGGATTATACAGGATTTAGTCAGTAGAAGTAAATATTGCCAGAAGACATGGATTCTTGGATAGCATGGCCTTTGCTGAAATAAGAAACAATTATTGTGATTCATATCTTTCTCTGACTTCTTTTGCTTAGCATAATGCTCTCCAGCACCATCGAAGCTGTAGCAAATGGTACAAGTTCCTTCCTTTTTACAGCAGTGTAGTATTCCATTGTGTAGATGTCGATCTCACTCATTTGTGGATTATAACATAATATTAATATTATAATATTATAACATGAACAACATAAACTGATGAACAAAAACAGATCCAGAGAAAGAGAAGCATTGATTAGATGCTCAAACCTCAGAGGGAAGGTAGGGGAGGGTGGGGATAAGGGAGAGAGATCAATCAAAGGACTTGTATGCACACATATGGGCATAACCAATGGACACAGACACCAGGGGTGTGCGGGCATGAACCGGAGTCGGGGGTGGGGGAAATAGGGGGGATAAGGACACATATGTAATACCTTAATCAATAAAGACAACAAAATTAGCTGAAGGCAAAATAATTCACATGGTACTTTCAAGAGGAAGATAAGCCAGTCAGAGAAAGATAAATATCATATGATCTCACTCTTTGTGGAATATAATGAACAACATAAACTGATGAACAAAAACAGAACCAGAGTCATAGAAGCATTGAATAGACTGTCCAACCTCTGAGGGAAAACAGGGGAGGGGGAGGGTAAGAGATCAACCAAAGGACTTGTATGCATGCATATGAGCATAACCAATGGACACAGACAAGGTGGGGGGAGAACATGTGCTAGGGGTGGGAGTGGCCGGGGAGAGGTCAATAGGGGGAAAAGGAGACATATAATATATTAAACAATAAAGAACTTAAATTAAAAAAATATATGAACAAAATAAAAAGAAGCAATTAATGAAACACTATTTTGAGAGTTCAAATTCACTTTAAGGAGCCAAAGGAATTTTGAGATGTAGATTTCTAGAAGTTGTATGAGTAATACAATGTTTCTGTCCCAGCAGAGCATTTAGAAATAGGTTGGGAGTCATCAACATATTAGAAGTCATAGAACTAAGAAACACAAATGTTGGAATGGTTCTTTAAGACCATGATGTCAGTTTTTTTGGTTGTTTGTTCTTTGAATAAAAAAAGGAAATTGTATAACACAATCCAAAGCTATAAAAGAATAAATATGGGCTGCCAGAAATGTTGGAAGAAAACAATATTGGGAAACAAAAGAGAATAATAGGTAAGCAGAGTAATAACTATCTTGTATTTAACTATCTTTATCCATAGGGAGTGAGCAAACACTCATTTGCTTGGGTTATAAGTAAACTAAATAATCACTGTTGAAGGTTGCAGAAGAAATGGTGTTCCCAGTAGAGTTCTTGATTTCTGCTTTGGCTAAGATGCATATTTAACTTTAAAATATCATTTCAGGATTCTGAATATGGTTTTCTTACTGATCAGTTACAGCTTAAGGAAAATTCTATTGGGTGTTATTACAGGAGAGAGTTAACCAATATCTAAATAAAGGTGGAGTAAGAGATATGACACATTCTGTGGCTTACTACATAACACCTTGACACACTATTTTATTTATTACAATTTCATAAAACCAACTCAGATATGTTTCACAAGAGGGAAGAATTTTTCCATTTCAAACCCAATTATTAATATAGATATTTGAGCAAATGAATACTAATCATGGCTTATATCTCTGAAAAAAAGAACTAAACCAGTCACTGAATACACAGAATTTTTTAAAAAAGCAATGGGAGCCAGTTAAATCAAGAATCCAAATCAGACAGGTAGCTATTTAAGTTTTAATGTGTGTGTGTGCGTGTGTGTGTGTGTGTGTGTGTGTGTGCTGTATATATTTTTTATTCAATCATATGCTTAAGAAGATAAATAAAAATGATAAAACACCAATTCCTGTGATTTCAGAGGTATTCTCCTAAATTTAATTAAGCTAAAAATAGCAGTCTACTTTTGTGGCATCATCTTTCCCCTGGTAATTTTACTAGCCTTATATTGAGACATGTCAGTGATCACAAGACAACCACAAATAATTACAAAGAGATTTCATCATCATCTCTAGAGATTGACATTCACATAGATTGCAATGTGCAAAACCCCAATCCAAGACTTTCCAGTGTTCAACCTGAACAGCCATAAGCAGCGAATTTTATTTTGCAGAGAAATGTATATTTTACTTCTGTACTAAGGCTCAAATTAATGGCATGCAGTTAGTGTCACATTCTTGTGCAAAGAGAGTGAATCACTGTTTCATAAATTTATCATGATTATAGCAGGTGTTTGACTGTGTTATCATCTTTTAAACCAATTATTGTATATCCCTTTTTTAAAAGTTCTATTTAGCCCTATAAATCAGGGAAAGAATAAATATCAGACAAATATCCTAAACTCCTAACAGAAAGTTAGATCAAGTAATTAATAACTTATTGCTTGTAAACTGGCATGTTTAAAAATTTTAAAGCTTAGTTCTAAACCCCTTTTGGGGGGTTTCCCTCCAAGGAATATTTTTATGAGTTTGCAAACAGTTCTGTTGGTTCATAAAATTAAGCTTTGGTAGTAATAGTTTCACATACCATGGGAAGATTTGCCTCTTATTACCTATTTATTTGGTACTAATTGGTGCACCTTGAAAGGAACTGTGGGTTGCCAGGCTGCGTGGACACAAGGGTGGGTCTTGGCCCATCCTTTAAAGCCCCGCCTGGCCCCTCCTTCCATGGCCCCTGGACCCCTGTCTGCCAACAGCCCCACTCTCACCACAGCTCCCACTCACTAACAGTGCTGGCCCTGTTTCTACCCGCTGATGGCACAGAGCGATTGGGGCACATGCCAGCAGCTGGAGCGAGGAGGGCCAGCACCATCAGAGGGTGCGAGTGGTAGCTGCTGCCCCAATTGCCCTCAGGAACAGGAGGAGGTGGAGAAGTCCTGCGGGGCAATCAGAGCTGGCAGCTGCAGTTCACAACTGCTGACAGTGCTGAGCGATGGGGGCCGGCGCCAGTGCAAGGGGCAGCTCTGGTGCTGGCAGTGGGTGCAAGCAGGCTGGCGCCAGCAGCAGATGAAAGCTCCCCGTGGGACCGCGACGTGGGGAGCAAAGAATTTGCAGTAACCACCAGAGGCTTGCCCTGATGACAAAGACTGACACCCCACCTTGTTCTGGCGCCCCAGCTCACCTGCTCCACCATCCCACTGCAGCTGACACCCGCCATGTTCTGCACTCTGCCACCTGCTGCCAATGCCTGCCATGTTCCGAACGCATTCTGGTGGTCAACACACCATCATAGCGACTGGTTGTTCAGTTGTTAGGTTTTTGGTTGTTCCACCATTTGGTCTATTTGCATATTAGTCTTTTATTATATAGGATAACGGTTTGACTCCATGCCTTTAGTTGTAATCACTCGTTATATATTTAAGCCATAGTTTTCAGAAACAACTTTTCTCTTAAAGAGATTAGATGGTTCTATGTGGCAGAATACCTAACAAGTCTAACAATTTCTCTGATGCTGTTCTTGACCCTGCCTATTTAGAAACTAGAGGCCCAGTGCACAAAATCTGTGCACTGGTAGGTCCCTAGCAACCACTGGCTGCTAGCTGCGTACTTCCTCCCTTCCCTCAGCCCCCTGCCACCACTGCCACCACTGCCAGGGCCTCCCTCCCTTCCCCTGGCCAGCCCAACCCTCTGGTCAAACTCCTGGACAACTGGTAGAGGGGGCATTTGCATACTACACTTTTATTGTATAGGATGTAAGAGATTTTCTTCCCTGTGGTCCTGTACTTTCATGATAGAGAGAATTTTATCTCTACAGGAAATGGAAGAATTTGTCCAAAGTTCAGGTGAACATGGAGTTGTAGTGTTCTCTCTGGGGTCAATGGTCAAAAACCTCACAGAAGAAAAAGCCAATCTCATTGCCTCAGCCCTCGCTCAGATTCCACAGAAGGTCAGTACAACCTACGATCCTAGTTAGCAGCCACCTTGCCAATTGGAGAGAAAATGCAGCTAACCAATAGTACTCTTTCCAGATGAAAGCTGAAACTCATTATACATTGAGCATAACTGACACAATCTTTAAGTGCAAATTTCTCAAAACGTTAAAATGTATTTCGACCCATTTGATCATTTGCCTACTGAGCCTTTGTAATACTATGGAAATACAGTACATCTTTTTGCAAAGTGATTTTCAAGGAAATACAATCAATGCTTGTGAACTACCCCTTTTTGTACCTCTTATATATCACATAAAATGGACTACATGATTTTTAATTAACTCTACAGCCCTAAAATTCCTTAAGTGTGCATTCTTACTTGTAAAATTAATGCACTTTCTTGCACAGGTCTTATGGAGGTACAAAGGAAAGAAGCCAGCCACATTAGGAGCCAATACTCGGCTCTATGATTGGATACCCCAGAATGATCTTCTTGGTAAGACTGAGGGGGAAACGCTGTACAGTTGGATGATGAACAAGTTAAGTAACTGAGAGCAGCTAAGTTCAATCAACATTTAATACTTTTAAAATTTCACATATAACAAAACAATTGGCCTTTGAGAGATTCCTGCTTACTCTGGTTCACAAAACAGAGCCTTCAGTTAAGACTCTCCTGAGTTCTCAAATCTGAAAAACAGTCATTAATGAACCTTCGTAAGTACTATAGCCTTGAATGGCTTACCATTGGTTACATTACTCATCATATTCAAGAATGTCCAATGTACCATGTATTTGAAATTGGTGTATCCTATATAATAAGAAAGGGATATGCTAATTAGCCTGGACATGCTAATTAGCCTTGATATGCTGATTAGTCATGACCAGTATGCAAATTGACAATGACTCCAACACATTAGATGGCCACCACAAAATGGCCTGCAGGGGAGGGCAGTTAGGGAGGGACCAGGCCTGCAAGGAAGAGCAGTTAGGGGGAACTGGGCCTGCAGGAAAGGGCACTTGGGGGTGACTGGTCCTGTAGTGGAGGGCTATTGTGGGGGAGCAGGCCTGCAGGGAGGACAATGGGGGTGGCCAGGCCTTCAGAGGATGGCCATTGTAGGGGACCAGGCCTGCAAGGGAGGGCAGTTAAGGGGGACCGGGCCTGCAGGGGAGGGTAGTTTGGGGCAACTGGGCCAGCAGGGGAGGGATGTTAGGGGCAACCCAGCCTGCAGGGTAGGACAGTTAGGGGCAACCAGGACTGAAGGGGAGGGCAGTTGGGGGAAACCCAACCTTCAGGGTAGGACAGTTATGGGCAACCAGGCCTGCAGGGGAGGATAGTTAGGGGTGACCAGGTCTGCAGGGAAGGCAGTTGGGGCCAACCAGGCTTGCAAGTGAGGACAGTTAGGGGTGACCAGGCCATCAGGAGAAGGCTGCTGGAGGCAACCAGGCCAGCAGGTGAGGGAAGACAGGGGTGACAAGGCTGGCAAGGGAGGGCAGTTAGAGGTGACCGGGCCAGCAGGGGAGGGCAGTTGGAGGCAACGAGGCCAGCTGGATAGGATAGACCAACAGGGAAGGGAAGTTAGGGGCAATTGGGCTGGCAAAAGAGCAGTTAGGTGTTGATCAGGCTGGCAGAAGAGTGGTTAGGGGCAATCAGGCAGGCAGGCAGGCAGGCAAGCGATTCGGAGGCAGTAGTCCTGGATTGTGAGAGGGTGCAGGCTGGGGTGAGGGACACACACACCTCCCCTGCCCCATGCATGAATTTCATGCACTGGGCCTCTAGTTTTGAAATAATAACCATAAGGTGACTAACATAAACACCATTTTATTATTTTATTCCCTAAATTGATGAAGTGATTTGCTAAAATTGCAAAAATCCTCAGATTTCAAGTATCTATCAACGTGGTTTTTTTCCAAAATAATGTTAATGATAACAAAAATTCTCAGATATTTTGAGGCACTTGATGAGGAAATGAATCAGCAACCTTTAGGTACACAGGACAACACCCAACCAACTGAACCACACTAGACAATGCTCATCTGCTTACTTTTATAAATATATCTGCTTCTTTATATATTACTAGTGGCCCGTTGCATGAAGATTCACTCAATATGCCTTCCTTCCCCTGGCTGCTGGCACCTGTTTTCCTCTGGCACCCGGGACCCAGATCTTTGGTCCAGCCGCAGCAGCAAGGCTCGGCTTTTCTGCTCCGGCTGCTCTCAGCCCCTCCTTTTTTTTCCCAGCTCCTTGAGTGGAGACCAGGGCTGGCTGGAAGGCTGGGTCTGCCCTGGCAACCCAGGCCCCTAGTCGCTCCTTGAGCAGAGCCCAGGGTGGGCTGGAGGCCTGGGTTGCCCCCAGGGACCCAGGTCCCCAGCTCCTCCTTGAGTGGAGTACAGGGCCAGCAGGAAGCTTGGCTTTCTCCATCATCAGGAGCAACCCAAGCCTCCTGCTCGCTCTAGCTCCATTGCCACCACCATCTTCAGTCATCCTCAGACTTTGCTCTGTGCCTGTGTATGCAAATTAACCACCATCTTTGTTGGGTTAATTTGCATAGTTCCTCTAATTGGCTGGTGGGTGTAGCGAAATGGCAGAGTGGTGGAGTGATGCTTAATTTGCATGTTTCTATTTTATTAGTGTAGACTAGTGGCCCAGTGCACAAAATTCATGCACGGTGGGGTGTGTTTCTCAGTCCAGCCTGCACTCTCCCCAATCTGGGATCCTTCAGGGGATGGCCAACTGTTGGTTTAGGCCCAATATGAACCCCCCTGCCAGACTGATCACCCCCAACTTGCCTCCCCTGCCAACCTGCTCACCTCCAACTGCCCCCCTCACTAGCCTGATCACTCCCAACTGCCCTGCCCGCCCTGCTCCAATCTGGGACCACTCAATGGATGTCTGACTGTCAGTTTAGGCCCAATCTGAACTCCCCTGCCAGGCTTCTCACTCCCAACTGCCCCGCCTCCCGCCAGCCTGATCACCCCCAACTGCCCTTCCCTCCTGGCCTGATCACCCCTAACCACTCTGTCTCTTCCCCGCCACCATGGCATTGTCAGGAAGGATGTCTGGAAGGTATCCTGGAAGGTCTCCTGGTCTAATTATCATAATACCCTTCTATTAGTATAGATAAGTGTTCAGTAAGTATAAAAATAGAAGTGATAATTTGCCAAATATTAATCATTCAAAAATAACCATCATTAACACTAAATGCATACCATTAGCATATCTATATATACAGAAGGAGAGCTAGAATATATAGATATAGATTGTATAAATTTTTAAACGAAACTTTAAATTTTACCTATTTTAACTAAAGACAAATTAAAATGAATCTATTACCTATATTTAACTGTAGATATATATATATAGTTATATCTTAGTTATTTTTCTCTGAAAGATCTCATCAAAGGTTAAGAATTAATATATGTATGCATAATGTTAAAATATTTTCAATTGTTTTCCATCTTTATCATTTTCTAATTGTTCTAATCAATTTTTATTTCTCTGAAATTGCCCCAAATTGTCCATAAATTTGTATATTCACTTTTTCAACATGAGCATTGCTCACTGTTTCTAATTTATCTTTTATCTGCTATATTTAATAATATTTCAACAGCTCACCTCTATTGTTTATCACTTCTTTTTATTTTATAATCAATTTTTGATCTCTTATTCATAACCCTTAACTTCTTATTGCAAGTTTATCTATAAGATATATGTGAATTTCAATATTAAATATCTATCTATAAATGGTAAAAAGTTTGAGTGATTTGGAGAGATAGGCTTTTATCACCAGTGTAGTTTACCTTAAATGTATTTAAGCAAACCATGTGAAATTTCTGTTTTGACCCTGCCTATATTTTAATTCCATTAAAAGTGTAGATGATTATTCTTTCTTGTTATGCACAAAAGAAGAACACAGTACCCCTTGCTACTGGATCTACTGTACCACATTCACTGCTGAGTGAGGATGACCTCATTTCTCCTTCCCCAATCCCAACAGTGTGCTGCTCAGACTATGACATCTCTTCAAAAACAACTTACCTTCTGTCATCTTCATGTTTCCAGAAACAGAGAGAAATATACTAATTCTGCCTCAGCCACAAAATGTCAAGTGATGACACAAATTCCCATTCAACTACATCCCTACACCCATTATTGTTTTGAGAGACCATTAGAGATATTAGCTCTATAACTCTGATTACTATGATTCCATAATAGTTAGGGGCTCAAATTCTAGAAATTTATTTCTATTTACCTTGAAAACTCAAATTCCATCTCCTTGCCATTTCTAAAATTACCCTAGTACCTTCATCCAATTTTGACATTGCCAGTAGAGACATTGTCCTTTGCATCACAAACACACAAGTATGTGCAATGGAGGAATCTCAGACTCTGCAAAAATAATCTATATTCACTACCAATTTCTTGTGCCTATCATTATTAATTAGTCAGACATTAGGGTCCATGCTTATGATTTTTAATGGATGTTTTCCCACAATATGTGTTAGCCACAATCTTGGCCTTAGAGGAGTCCTTAAAAATCACACTTCAAGCAATATTAAATTTCCTTCTTGAAAACAAATGAGGCTTATTCCTTTTTTCTATGTTTACATTTGACCAAATGTAAAACAATTTACATTGTGTCAAATATTTATTTATTCCATACCTTCCCCTTTACAACTCTTAAAATACCATTCCATCAGCAAAGTTCGTGTCACAACTAGAATTAAATGTTTCCTCAACACATCTATGGATGACATGTTAGGCAAAGGTATCATATACTTACAACTTCAATGAAAACAAAGCTCTCACTTCTGTCTGTCTTTGTCTACCAGCTATAAAGAGAACGCTATGAGGTTATCAAGCATTCACCACGATCAACCTGTAAAGCCCTTGGATCGAGCAGTCTTCTGGATCGAGTTTGTCATGCGCCACAAAGGAGCCAAACACCTGCGGCCAGCTGCTCACAACCTCACCTGGGTCCAGTACCACTCTTTGGATGTCATTGGGTTCCTGCTGGCCTGTGTGGCAACTGCTATATTTTTGGTCACAAAATGTTGCTTATTTTCTTGTCAAAAACTTGGTAGAACAGGAAACAAGAACAAGAGGGAATAAATCA